AAAACATTGGCAAAAAGAAACATATTGTGAGTGGAATAATGACGCCAGTATTCCAAAATTGATCTAGAAGGGCTTAACATTGACGATTGAAAGATTAGCCCTGGTGACTAGAAATTAACTATATATCATCAGATGAACAGCAGAATGTATAAAATACGTCTTTATTGAATTAATGTCTTTAGAAATAGCTCTTACATATTCAGTTCAGCAGTATAAGTAAATAGGCTTTGCTATACATATGGACTATTATCCTGTAAGTCCTTCAAGTGACAGATATGCACGATACAGACAGTAAACAGCTTTATAACCAGATATCCACAAAACCAAATAAAGAAAAACAATAATAAATACAGATCCAGTAACGTGTTATAAAGACAGATAAGACTATCAACAGGAAAGACCACCTAACATTTTGGCCTGATAAGTCCTTCCACAATGGTAAAAACTTGAACCTTGCGTTTCCGCATATAAATAGGACCACATGCACCAATCCGAGGCAAACACCCAAAAAAACAACCAAAGGACTAAACCAAATACGTCCATATGTATAGAGAAGTATATTTACTTATACTGCTGAATTGCACGAGTGAGAGATTTTTTATATACCGTACATATTAATTCGATAAAGATGTTATTTGATATTATTCTGGTCTAATTCTGGCATCTGGTGTAATATGTTGTGCATATATTGACCAGTGGGGGAACTGGTATACCATTGACTGAACCCCTGCACATTTAGTGTTTTTTTTATATAGTCTGGCTCTATTTTATTGAGTGCTCCTATGTACTAGACTAGAAAGTTACCCCTGGTGAATTATATTATGTCTTGCTGCAGTGGCGGGTAATTTTTAATTCCCGGTTAGTAGCATACAACTTCAAATTGGAAGCCCTGCTATATATATATATATCTATCATCTATATTTTAGTATAATTATTATTGGCATTTATAAAGCGCCAACTAATTCCACAGCGCTTTACAATATTATGAAAGGGGGGAAATTTTACAAATAAATGAGACAGTGACACGGGAACAATAGGTAGATGAGGATCCTGCTCAAACGAGCCTACAGTCTAACATAATCTAATAATATACTTGGACAATGAAGACTAGTGTAAAGCTTTTTAAGGTTAAATTAAAAAAAAAAAAACTACCTTATATTCCTTGTAAACATTTGGATCCACTTCAAAAGGTTGAAAAACTGGCGCATTCAGCAATTTCCGTGTGTTTACTAATAAGGGAAAAAATTGTTTTTATCAATGCATCCAAATATTACATTTGCAATATTAAGACTTGAATCAGATTATTATACTACCAGGTTGTGTCTGCTTATGGCCTTATGTGTCAAAAACTCATATGCAAATAATGCTATTTTTAGCAGAAACTTTAAATTTAGGGTGAAAGCCTTTTCAAGCTCGATGTTTTTCTCATCCCTATACAACAGTGACCATTAGAGCACTCCCTAAAATATTTGAGTAACCGGAATAAAACATTCAAATAATTTATGTATATATCAGGCATGAATATAAACGGGATTCCATTAGAAAGTTTATTTTTTTACCTATGAAGTTTTCCCATCTCCCGAAAACATTGTTCATTTAATTGTTGATTTTATTTTGCTATCTGACAAAGTACACCCAGCCTTCTGAAAATGTCCTTGCTCTCGTCAGTGCTGCAGCTGACAGATATGAGTTATAATTGAGTGATATCCCATCAGTTATCTCACAAAGTAAACCACGCGCAAGAAGTCTTTACAGGACTTCAAGTTTACTTAAGTTTATTTAAAAGGGTCTGGACTCTTCTTACAGTACATTTTTGTATTTTCACATTCTCCTCATCCTAGATTTTAATTTACATTTTACTGTCATTTATATTTCAAAAGCTAACCAAACTATTACCAAACTCAATAAAGTAATAAAAACAGGGCAAAATATGGTAGCCTAAGACAGCAAATTGCAATCAGAAGGAAAAGATTACCTTCATCTTTCACATACTACTTAAAGGAACACTCCACTGCCCAAATAAAAAAAAAAAACTGTTTAGTAAATATACCTCTAATACAGCCATGCATCCATTTATTAGGCATTTCTTTTCACAGACAACAGCTTGCAAAAGCTGTAGATCTTTTGTCTGCAGCCTTTGCAAGTCCTCCCCTTCTAACCCCACCCATACTTTCTGTGGTTGTCCAATCACTGACTTCCTAATGCAGCTCTGTGCAATTACTGCCTCTTGAACTTAGTTCCACTGAGCTAAACAATCAGGAAGTAACAGTACTGGTTGTCTGATCGAAAGGCAGGTGATGCAACATGGTTAATTTATAAAAGTGTCAATTTCTATTGAAATCTGCACTATTTTTAAAAAGGAAAAAAAGGACACGTTTCAGCAAGCTAAAGTGCTTCGGGGTCTGCAGTATTCCTTTAAGGAGTAGTTCAGTCTTTATTATATTTTGCTTTGTTAATTTTATCTTTTTTTATACATCTTTTTTTTTACATTTAATGTCATGTCTATCTATTGACCATTTCTGTTATCTATATATGGTCTATTTGGTGTTTAGGTGGGAATGGGATCATAATAGTCTGGGCAAGAGACATGCCCTTATGATATAGTCATAAGCTATGCTTCACACTACAAGATACATAAAAGTTTCCTCTACAATGCTATGCTAATAGAGGCTTTGCCAGCAAGTAAATATCTTGTGTAACAATGCAGTGTAATATTAATCAAGTGACGTTCAGTATCGCTTATATTGAAACATTATGCAGTAATTCCAAAATTGTGCATGACTGTTTAGAGGAAAGATTAATGGTCTACAAATGGATTGCTTTTATTGCCTGCTCTCTGCAGGGTACAAAGCAATACATTACTGCATATCACAAAGTTCTCATTTCTTTTGCATGTAGTGTTCAAAATGTATAATAGCAGATATTAAACTCATTCATTTCTTAAACCCACAATAGCAGCTAAGGGAAGAAGAAATGTCCAGTTACCTGGACATTCTTACAAAATTCCACAAAGAGATAAAAACTCTCAGGTAATGTTCTTTACTTAAGAAGAAAATCAAAGGATCTATTTTGGTTTAATTGTACTTTGCTTTGCTTTTATTTCATAGAATATACTTCCTTTTTCTCTATTATTTCGGTATAGTTTGATTTTTATTTGATATATCATGCTATATGTGCTTCTTTTTTGGGGGGTATACATGCATCTATACAAATTTTGGAAGATTTGTATTCGAATGAAAAAAGAAGAAACATGTAGGTCACTTTAAATAAACTACAAGGCATCCAAACATCTGTGCTGTCTTATTCTGACTGTGCAAATGGTGAGTGAAAATTCAGCACTGGAATCCATAAACCATTACATAAATGTAAATATCGCTCCCTTTCATTGGAGTTTTACTTTTAGATCATCCATGTTGGAACAAAACAAATCACGAACCTCATATAACTAATTGAAGGTGTGTGTGTGTGAGGAAAAAGGAAACATACTTAGTTGTTTGGACAGCATAAGGAATGAATAGTTCATCACTTGAGAGGTGAATAAAGATGTTTATAAAATCATGATTTTGATGCTGATTCACATAAATTCATTTTCATGCTCCGTAACGTGGCATCATAGCCTGGGACAGGCCCCTGTCAACAAATTAAAGCCAATTTGTTCAATACTTTGTTCAGGGAAGAACTGGCAACGTTTGGCCTGTGCTGGTGGCAAGTATAAACAAATGGCCATGTCTTTCACATGAAGTACACATGAATGGTCCTACTCACAGGAGATTATACAATATATAAATATAACAGATGACGGCTGCTGTTGTTGCAAGGTGTGTCATCATATGTTACATACCTGTAACATCCCCTAGTAAGACCTGCACAGAATGGCAATCTCGCCATTCCCCCAATGACAGCCAGGGTGTGTTATAAGTGTCATGGTTACTGTTTTATTGGTTACTGACTCTGCGGTCAGTGGCATCAGTCTAGTAACCTGGTCAACCTCTGATACACACAGTCCACCAGGAAGTATTCTAATGGGCAGTCCAGGCGTGGAGAGCCTCACAATTCATGCCTATTGCATGGAAGTCTGACTGAGTATCATGGGAAATGTAGATCACCTGACTGCCCAACAGTCCTGATTTTGGTGGGACAGCCTCTATTTTAGGTTACTGTGCCACTGTCCTGACTTTGTCCCACTTTTGAGTACAACAGGGAACTGTTCCAAGAAAGTGTAGCATAAGTGGATCATTAGAAGCACTCACACTATGCTCCCTGAAAACAGTGATCCCTGCAGAGTCCACCCTTGGTAGACTTGCCTGCTTGATTGAAAGGCATTCACTCCATGCTATCTGGGCAGTTAATCCAGCGGATCTGTCCTCTTTCTGGGGAGGTCCACCCCTCTGTGATTAACAGTGTCACATTTTGCATCACCCTCCCCCTTTTCAATGACCACTAGGGTCCCACTTCATGGGATGCTGATAACCCCTGGTGGGTATGCTTCAAATTTATCTGCAGTGGAAAAGTAAGGCAGCATTTGTTTATCGCATAGGTAGACTGACTATGGACTATGGAATGTTTACTAAAACTAAACAGAAACTGGTAAATGAACCCGGAGCTAATAGAGTATAAAGTAGCAGATAAAACATACTTAGATAAAAGTAAGATTAAAAGCACAAAATCTATAGCAGCACATTGCATATAGTATATGACAATATGTAAAGTGAAATATGCAGGGTAATAAAACCAGATATTTATACTCTACATATTAGCTCATGGTTACATTACTAGTTTCTAGTTGGCAGCAAATGTTGTCCATTCAGGGATTGCTATTATCTAACAGAGGGACCATCCAACGATATATTCTTTGTTTGTTTCTCTCCTGTTTTTCCACTTACTATGAAATGTGTTGTTTATTTGATTTGTTTCCTATTAACAAATTCTCTGGTGCTGCAATTGATTACAAAAATAGTTAATTGTACACCCTAAAATAAAACAAATATATTAGCACATACATTTCATGCTGGAATTGGATCCAGAAAAATCATCAATAAATTCCTGAGTATCTGTCTTCTGGAGCACCACTCTACAGTCAGGTGTGAGAACTTCTTTGCAGCATGCATGGACAAATCCCGAACCTTGAGTAAGCTGCATATTGATGCCCATTTTTAAACACAAATCAGTTATACTTATACTCCTGTTAAAATAAAAAATAAATAAAAGCAACGTGTAAAGCAGCTAATAGGAATGATGGACCATTGCTAGAATAAGTAGCAGAACATATTTTATACTATATTTCATAAACCATATTAATCCAACCAGTTTAAGAATGTACTGTCTTTTCTCTGTAAGAGACAAACACAGTTCCCAAGAAAAAATGTGTTCAGGGCCATCTTTCCACATGGACAGGCTGGGCAGTTGCCCGAAGGCCCCACGGGCACAAGGGCCCCACCGCAATGCCCATGGGCTGAGGCCGACAGGGGAGATCATTGATGAATCAAATAGACAAAACAGTAAATTAAACAATACTAAAAAAACTTTAAAGTTTCTAGTGTATTCGACTTCTTGTTGTGAGTTTTGCCTAGACTAGGAAATAGCTTGAAGCTATTTTAGCATTATGTTTATTGTAGTATAATTGATATTTAATGACATAGGCAATGGTAGGCAACTGCCTACAGACTCCTGTCTACCAAGGGCTGCAATTCAAGCATGTTCCCCTTGTATTTATTTATTGTATATTTTCAGATCCTTTTTATATCTGTTGCATGGTAAATGCATTTTTTTGTTTATTTGCGGAGGGAGACGCTTATTTTTTAATTCATGAACCATGCAACAAGGAACTGGATTTTTGTTTTTGTTTATTAGGCTTAGGTGCAGCTTAAGAATCTGTGCCTACAGGCACCCGACTTGTAAATCTGACCATGGACATAGGCATCTATATCCAAGTCTCAATTCATTTCCTGAAATGGAATTGCTGGTTTGAGAAATCTAAGTATTCTAGGTTTGCGAGGACTGATAAAAAAAAACAGGAAAAGAGTTTCATCATGTAGAACAGTTGTATAAAATATGAATATTTACCTTACCTTGGAACAACAACTGTGTCAAAACGATCCTGTATTTTCTGCCGGATAATGTCTTTAGTTTTCTTTTGAACTTTTCGAGCATGCTTGACCCATTTCTGGCAACGTTCAACATCATAGGATTTCTGAATCCACAGCAACTCTGAAAAATAAATGCAAATAAATCAAATACTTTTCTTGCAGTTTGATTTTTTTTTTGTCCTCATTTAGCCTTTTTCCTTCTGCAATGCTTTGTGACTTTTCCTCATTATAGTAGTACCATGTCTTGTACTTAGAGGCTGTACGGCAGATTTGATAAAGGCTGATTAAAAAGGCTGGAGGCTTCTCTGCCTACATGCTTTATTTTGGATAACACTATCACTATTTCCAGTAAACTTTTGCACGGCAAAAAATGTGGTTAGACGAAATCAATTCGTCGGCTAAAAATTGTGTCTGGTGAAAGGTTTTGTTCTTCAGGTGTCCACATGATCTCTCTGGGAAAAACAATTCAGACTAACCAAATGGCTTGAAAATGCCCCTATAATTGTACTGCAAAGTAAATGCATAGTATAAACATTATGTACATATTTTGCAGTACACTGACAGGTGCATTTTTGCACTATTTAGCTCACAGATCATATGAGAAGAAGTAAACAATATAGGGGGGGAAAGGAGCATTACAAAATATGTTTTTATATATTGTATATTTATTAAATATATACATATATAGATATAGGTTTTTATTTTATTTTTATTTTTTACTTCTTTTTCCCCCCTGTTGGTTAATTCTGTGATCCGTGAATAAAATCAACATTTGGTAGCTGTCCCCTAAATAATCATCTTTTTTTTCACCAATCATCTTTTTGGTGCCAGGGACAGAACTCCAAACTACAAAGTAATGAAACAGCTTGTTCATTCCGCGTTTTGTTTGGTTTGTAATTCGGTCATATCTCATGGCAATTGGAGTTCCAGGATTCAAATGAGAATGAAGGTGGCTTTTATAGTAATTCTTCCACTGGCGTAACCCATTCAACTTTTGCATAGAAGTTTAAAAAAAACCTCTGTCACGTCTGTTCAATACAGGCTTTCCATGAAACTGAAAAGGCCATTATGTTCATTTATATAGTATAAAGTATATGGTTTGGCTATAGCTTCCTTAGTCTTGTTATTATAATTTTAGGGATTTATGTGTAGAAGGTAGTGATGCAGAAAGGTTACTTTTAGTCACAATGTTGAGAATTTACATTATAATCTTTTCTGATACCCTCACACTCTCGCATCAAGGGAAGTCATGGAATTAGATGGTGGGACATTTTCCCTGAGGATTGTCATGTATTACCAAGTACACACCAGAAAACTATTAATTAGAGGCCAAAAAAGATGTTGTGACAAGATAGCTAATTATGTTTCCAGTTCTGTTATAATACCTATAATTTGCTGGTGCATTTAAAATAAAAAGCACATTTTAGTAAATAAGTCTGCTTGTTAAAAGTGGCTATCCCAATATATATCCTAATATGAATGGATTTTATGGTGTCCCGTTCTGACTTCAAAACTGCTCCTATAATTCCCAAAGAAAAGATTTATAAAACCAAAACAGGTGTTAAAAGTACAAAGTGTTAAAAGTATTCATTCATACTCTGCCCCAGAATATCTTCTATTTTTGCCACAATAAATCTGCCCTTTAAAAGATCAACAGGGTATAATTATTTAACATATCTTGAGAAGATTGCTATTGTTTATTCCTGACTTGTAATACGCCTAATGAATGAAATAGCAGATATATAAAATATTATGTTTATATTCAAATAAAATAAAATGATTCCTAAGAGTCTCTAAATTTAAAGTGACTCTAATCCTGGTTTGATACAAAGTCCATAACAGACAAACTTGCAAGTGATAATGGTAAATCTGGAACTATGCTTGGAATGTACACCAGATAAAAATAATAATGAACCCAACCATTATATATTTTCTCTTTAGAGTCAAAAAATAAAAATAAAAGTAATACGTTTACTGAAAGATTGAAGGCACTATATAACTGAAATAATGGTTGGATACCAAAGGGTATACTGATCATCTATATATGTTGCTACACTGCCAAATCAGTCTTAGAAGTAGATGGTCTGTATTCAGCAAGGGGAGTCTGATCCCTATTAAAGGATAAACAGCTATACACTTCAGCCAACAGATCTGAATACTTCAAGGCAATAAATTATAGGGCAGTAAATTTAAACATATATATGTATAAAGGACAGAATTGAGGAATATTGGTATATCATTCACCTACGCTTATATTGATTACCATTTAAATATTAATTGCCTTAAATGAAATACTAAACTTTAAAAAAAAAATGGAAAGTTGGTCGAGTCACCTATGTACCGCCTATATACTAATCGACAAATTACATTTCTCTGATCCGCAGTATTGATTTTTAATAACTTCTTTTCACCTCCGAATGTAGGTACGAGAGTGGAGAGTAATGAGTTTCAAAAGGATGTATTGCCCAACCCTCAGGCATTTGGAAGATTTAATACTCACCAGCACTTGCGCTATGTAGAAGTCAGTCGTCAGTGTTAAACAGCCCCTTTGAGTGTGTAAAATGTTCTGTCTCTTTCAGAAAACAAGAAAACTGCAATACTAAAATGTAACATCTGAGTATTTTTAAATGACAGAACACATTTGCTTTCTTACCATTTTTCATTTCTATCACCTTTTGTTGCAAGTCATTTTTTTCTGTAAATTGGTTGAGTTCCAGGCATTCCGAAGAAAATGTTTTAAGCTTAGCAGTTGCTGCTTCAATTTGAAGATTGAGTTGTTTCTGTTAAAATAGAATAATAAAAAATATCAGCAGATGGTAAAATGTTCTAAATGCTTAATTACACACATTCTAACCTTAAAGTGAAAGTGCCACAAATTGCTCACCTAAAGCTAGAACAAACCCTAAGGATGTAAATACATATTTCATAAACATAAACTATATATTTGCTTTATTAACAGAAAAAAAGGGGAGACAAAGAGCCACTTATAGGAATTCTAGAATTTATAGAAGCAAGTTACTCTTAGAAAGATATAATAACAACAAAAAGAGGGGAAAAATCCTAGAGAGAATAGTTACCAAGAAAATAAAAACTTTACCTTTATTGTTACTAATTAAAACAGAATCAGACACAAATGTCCCAGCAAAACTAGGTGATGGAGTCGAGCCCCGACGCGTTTTGCCGGTCAGGCAGCTCTTCAAGGGGAAGCTGTTTTATATTTATTTACCTGTTGTTATACACATTTAGGTGGGCAGTTTCTGTAGTGAAACTAGCACCGAAGCCCCACTTCCTGCATGATAAGTCAATAAAAAAGCCTCCTTTTTAGGCTTACTCAATGGGCACCTGGCAATTTGTTTGAAAATAATTTGGATGCAAGGATTTGGAGGCTGTGTGTGGGGCCCTTAGGTATCCTCAATTTCCCTGGCATTGCCCTGGCTGGTCTGCCACTAATTCTCAGAGATTCTATATTTCTGTAACACCTATCCTCAAGTTCTGCTTTGATCCTTCCCCTCTCTGCAATAATTGGAAAATCCTCCTCCTCCTAAACTGAGCGTAAGAGTAACAAGAATTGTGGAGATACCACTGTAATAGATAGCAGGAGAACCATCTGGAGGAGATTCTCCAGAACTCCCCTGTCATTCAATCCTCACGATTCACAAAGCAAATGCTTTAAAAGAGCACTCCAAGGCACCCATACATGTCAGTTGCATTGTATTAATTCAGTTAATTATACTGGATGGGCTTCAATATTAAAGGGACACTATAGTCACCAGTACAACTACAGCTTATTGAATTTGTTCTTGTGAGTAGAATCATTACCGTCATGTTTTTTGCTGTAAAAACTGTATTTTCAGAGAAAATGCAGTGTTTGCATTACAGCCTAGTGATAACTTCACTGGCCACTCCTCAGATGGCTGTTAGAGATCCTTCCTGGGTCATGGCTGCCTAAAATGCATCCAAACATTCAGTATCTCCTCCCTCTGCATGCAGACACTGAACTTTCCTCATAGAAATTCATTGATTCAATTCATCTCTATGAGGAGATGCTGATTGGCCAGGGCTGTGTTTGAATCATGCTGGTTCTGCCCCTGATCTGCCTCTTTGTCAGTCTCAGCCAATCCTATGGGGAAGCATTGTGATTGGATCAGGCCACCACTTCTGATGATGTTAGCAGACAGCTTGTTTTTTTCTGAGACAAACAGTATGCAGAGTTACAGCTTCAAGCTTGAATACAGTAAGATTTAGCTATATTTATGGAGGCATGAGGGTCCCATGGGGGCTAGATGGTGGTGTTAACACTATAGGGTCAGGATTCATGTTTGTGTTCCTGACCCTATAGTGATCCTTTAAAGGGGTAATCCAGGTTCCCACACACCGGGAGCACTGTGTAGGTTGCAGTTATAGTCTGTGGGTTTATATTAATAATCGCTCCCCCAGGTGTTAAGTGCAATATGTAGGTTACATTACAGTAAGTTGTGCATTGGGTGAATTTCTATGCTGCCTCAAAGATCCTGCACAATGATTATTTAAAACAACAAATCTTAACTTGTTTATCAAAATTCATATCTCAACCTACAATTGTATGAAATGTTTGGGCAGCCTTGAAAAATAACATATGTTGTTAATGTTCTAAGTGAAAGAATGTAATACAACCTCTACACGAACAAATGTAACCTTGAATTTTTTTTTCTAAATTGTAATGCATAGTTTATTATTCATTTGCAGAATTTAACTGATGTTAGTATAAGCAACATTTTTAGCACCCTTTCCGCTGATACACTGATCCAGTGGTTTCTTTGTAAGCTCTCAGAATCTTGTAGAAATCCTCCAGGCACCATAACAACTTAACTATGGTGCTGTGCAGTTCTCCTCTTCTGCTCTGTGCTAATGTGGTAGCATTAGCATGAGCAGTGATGTGGTGGCAATGATTGACTGAGAGCATCAGCTGATGGTTAATTTATTGCAAGACCCCTCTGGCATACCAGCTTAGCCTAATTTCCTCCTAAAGAAAGCATACCGTTATAATGCAGACAACATGGGAAAAGCTAACTGATTTTAAGAGAACAGAGCCAGTGTGTGGGAGAGGGGCTTACTGTCTATTTCCTGCCTATAGCTCCTTGTGTATCTCCTTACCTTATTTGTGTTCCCTGCTCATATCTCTGGGGTAATCCTATCAGGGCTGGATCTACCTGTCTTTCTGCCCAGTTTCCTCAATGCATGGTCCACCACCCCAATCCCTTCATCTATATATGTATATTAATGCATGTGTGTTATAGTAATTCTTGTGTATAAAATATATCATAATATTTATACAGTTCTATAAATATTACATGTATATTAATATACATTTCTATATACATGTACGCATCTATATGTACTGCATCCTTGGTGCAGAACCATGAACACGTCAACACACCAGCACTCAGTGACCCATACATTCATACTTACTGACCCATACACTCACTTATTCATTCACTCATACTTACTTACACTCAGTGACACACACAGTCATACTCACTGACTCACGATGACACACGTACACTGGCCTCCCCTCCCTGGAAAAATTCCTGCAGATGTCCAAGCACTGTTATTTACTAAAGTGTGGAATGCTGGCAATTCAGAGTGAATTTCAAATTAACGGCCAAAAAAGCTGAACTGGAAACACCCCCCAAGTCAGCCATGGTTCTAGTTCGACTACTTTGGTCTTAGATTTAAAATTCACTCTGAACTCACTTTGAAATCCTGACAATTCTCACATTAGTGAATAACACTGTAGATGTTTTACCTCCCATCTGTAACTTCCCATATGTTGTTGATTTGCAAAAGAACATGTTTGGCTGCATTATCAAGATTATTCACTAAATTGCGATTTGTCAGGAATTTAAAGTCAATTAAAGTATATTTCCAAATTGAGGTCAAAGTTGCTGGACCACAAGCACAGCTGGCTTAAATAATTTTTCCATTTGGGCTCTTTTGGTCTTGAATTTGAAATCCACTTTAAACTCACTTAGAATTGTCAACAATTTTCAGTTTACTAAATAAAGCTGCACTTTATCAGGTGCTGTCACTGACATGCACATATAAAGATAACTACAGACTCATGCAGTTCAGTATCAGAATATTTGGCTATGAATGCATAGAGATCTATATCATTCCACAACATGAACTCACCATTACATCCTACCTGGTTTATCTCCTTGCTTTTCATTATGTACTTACCAGATAAAGAACAACACTCCTGCTTTGCTTGTACTTGAAGCCGCTCATGCAGATAAAACACACATAGGCACACACACCCTGAAGGTCAGCCTGAATAGAATTTATTAAAATAATCATTACAATAAGACAAGAGAAGAAAAAATTAAATTAACATACTTGTTAGGGCAATGCAGGCTAAAAAAAGACAATACATAGTATAACACTATATTAAGGAATCACTCTACTTAGAAACAATCTTGCATCAGTTCACGCACTTCAGTGTCACAATTATTGTATTAACATTTACTTATTAATATTTATTATTATTGACATGTATCTATTTATTATTAACCTTTTTCTTATTGGGGATAGAAACACTTCACTGTTAGTTATTAAGACAGCCATGGAGGTTTCCTTCCACGTCACAGAACTAACGGACGTGGCAGGTGTACTTGGCAGGTGTGTGCTAACATGTGCTGCATTTCTAACTTCACATTGGGCTGTATTACAGATCATCGAGAAGCATAGGAAAGCTGTGATAATGTGCACATGCACACTCACGGTTCCAGCACAAAAACTTCTCAATGAGAAGCATCTGATTGAAGTATTTCACAGAAAGTCTATGCTGGGGGGAAAATGGAGGACTTGTATAGGCAGCAGACAAGGAATTTGCAGTTTTTGCAAGCTGCTTTTTTTTAGATATACCCACAAATGTATACACTGCAAACAATACATAAATAAAAGGATAAATGGAATGTTCCTTTGATATAAACACCAAAACAGCCACATTATCATTACATTTGACTTGACCCCTTAGTGACCTTAATTTTTCTAATTTTTCTAAGATTCCTTACATTCACGACTGAGGTTGTTTTGGCTGTATTGCTACATGTTTGTTCTATCTTAAAAGGAAACTGTACTAACTATAACAATTTCATCTTGATTAAGTTATTCAAGTATAGAGATGTCGCGAACTGTCCGCCGAACTGTCCACCCAATCAGCAGCAGACCGTCCCTCCCAGGAAGTGTCTGCTGACTGTGAGGTTCCGGGTCAAAGTTTACTCAATGATTATGTATAGGGGGCGGACCGGAAATCGGATATGTTCGCCCAACGCGAACACGCTATTGTTCGCCGGCGGACAGTTCGCGAACAGTTCGGCGGACAGTTCGCGACATCTCTATTCTAGTACTTATAGTTATTCATTTCTCCTTAGTAGACCCATATGTCAATATTTTGCACTTTCTATGAAAGTTGGGACTGTTACTTCCCAGCTCTCATACCCTACCATACCATGATGTCATGTGCACATGCACAGTGCTTTCGCAGTCTTCCATAAAGAATGATTGCAAATGTTTTATTTTTGTTGATTTTCATTTTCTAATTTGCCTGAGCGAAGAAGGATTAAAGCCAACTAAATGCATTAATACTGTAGCATTAGGAATACAAATCTGAATTTCTAACCCTATTGTGTCCCTCTGATTTCCTAATTTCTCATGTACTCAGACCTAGTATGCTGCTCTTTAAAAGACACAACTTTCTATATATATGTATTTAAAATACTAGGTTACACATTAATTAAAA